CCGCGGTGAGGGTCGTCCGCGAGGACGCGAGGAATTGCGCGGCGAGGAGGCCGAAGGGGCAGCGATTCGCCTCCGGCGGGGGGCACGCCACGTGGTCCAGCACCACCTCCACCCGAAAGGCGTCGTGGTGCACCGAGACGAGGCGCTCGCGGAGGATGAGCTCCGGTCGCGCGTGGGCGCCGCCGGCGCCGCGGCCTGAGGGTTTGGCCCCTTCGGTGCCTTCCCCAACCCCGCCGTTCGAGGAAGGCGGGTCGATCGGGCATAAAACGCAGCGTCTGACGCACCCCACGCTCGTCGGGTGCAGGCCGTTCTCCACGATACAGCAGGAGATGGCACGGTCGAGGGCGAAATTTTTGATTTCAAGGATATTCTTCAGCTTGGGGGCGACCACGGCAAGCGGGACACCCATGACGGTGGAGGAAAAGGCCTCCACCGTGAGGGGAGATTCCACGGAATCCATCTTGGTGCTTCTTCTCCGCGGGTCTTTGAGGAAGAAAAAGAGAGGAAAGGAAAAAAATAAAAGAAGAACGGTCGATCAAAAATTTAGGAACCTATGCGATGCTGCTATAGATCTTCCTACAAGAGATACTGTGTAAAGGGGGGAAATGGAAAGCGGCTCCATACTCGCGCTCTCGTACTCTTTTTTGACGTTTGGGGATGCGCGGCAAAGATAATTCTCACAAACATTCACACTCGCTGTGTATACTTGTCTTTATTATGCCAGTTTCGTGATTTTTTTTATATATCTATAGGTGTAAATGGCTCTGCTCACTCATCAAAACGGAAATCACCTTTTCGCTGGGCACGGGGTTATCACACAATAATACGGTATATAAATATGAGAAGTGCTGTTTTAGCCCCATTGTTCTCATCGCGCCGTCTTCACGAATGCAAAGGTTACTCGCAAAGCAACTATGCATTATGAGTGAATAAAAAATAGGAAAAAAGAACTTTAAGCCGAAAATAAAAATGAATGGGTCTCCTCTGTCTTGTTCGGCATAGCAGAGTCGGCCACAAATGCGCTGTTGCTATCCAGAAGTACACCAATTGGAGAGTACTTTGCACAGATCCCACGAACGCGCTCCAACGTCGCCTCCAGATCGCCACGTTGCAGTAGAGATACCACCCTCACATACCCCAAAAGCATAACAAATCCAGACGCCGCACCACTCACGTTGGTCACGCTCATCAACCCCGTCGAATCCGACATTCTTAGCCACGAACCACGGCCCCTTGGCCGAGAATCGGTTACATGTTTGCCAAGCACGTAGCGAATAAGGAATCGCACCAATGAGCGTACGAACCGATATGCCAGGTAGTTCCATGCCGCACAAATACACGCCGCCTCCTTGAGCGCATCGGTCGACGCCTCGAGCTCGGCAAGACTCCCCTTCCAAGAGATGAAACGATGGATCGTAGGGAGGGTGTGCAGCACACAGATGCCCATATTCATCGCCAGCTGCAATGTCAACAACACATTGACATCCCCATTTAAAATAAGCTGCATCCCTGCGTGTTTTTTGAACTCCCTAAAAGGCGCGAACCCCGTCCGCCCCTTGGGTGTCGTCACGAGGCAGAGAGAAAGCGCAGCAGAGAGGACTTGCGCACTCACCACGTAGCTCACCATCCCACGCGTTAGGAAAAGCGGAACGCACAGCCCCAGCAGGGTGAACCCGGAGAACAACACAAACACGAGCAGCGTATCCTGCGCCACCCACGCCATGGGCCCCATCGCATACCCGGCTGATAACAACGACAAATAAAAAGAAAAAAAGCGCCCAGCAGGGGGGAGAACCCTTCGCGGAATCGCGAGCACCACCGCCGCGGGAATCCCCGTCGTGGCGATCGCCAGCGCGATGGGAAAGTGAGGAAGCTTCCGGAAAAGCACCGCCCCCGCTCCCCACGCGATCACCCCGGAAGCCACGAGGCCGTAGACGCGCAGGAGATGCCGTCGGGTGGCGGCGAAGCGGGAAGGGTTGCCGATCGGCTCCGTCCGCGCGCGAATGGCCGCCACAACGGCCTCGAGGGCCCCCTGCAGGCGACGTGGGAGGATGCGGCGAAACCCCCCAATCTGGTAGAACAACGCCGCCGCGTAGACGCCCAAGACGACGAAGGAACCACGGCGAAGGTGGTAAAGGATGCGAATCGTGGGCCCTTCCCCTCCCCTTCCTCCTTCCGCGCTCGCGGCCCGCCCAATGGCACCGCCCCACTCATCCATTTCAAACCCACACCCCTTTTTGTGGTAGTTTGATGACCTTCGCTCTAATCCAGAGAAGAGCTAAATAGACAACAAACAAAATAACAAAGAAAAGGAGAAAAAAAAGAGATGGAAGAAAGAAAGAAAGAAAAAAAAGAAAGAAACTCTGAAACAGGAACAAGCCCAACACACGTGAGGACGTGCTCGCGCTCCGTAGCGTGGATATGCAAAGGAGCACGCCGCCGGATCCCGGTTCGATCGCTTCCCGAGGCGATGAAAACGGCAATCCGTTTGCGGGGAGTAGGGGATGTGCTGTTAGGTAAAATTCTTCTATTCCCCATTATACCCTCTCCGGAAACGATGTGTATGTAGACAATGTTGTATAAAGTAAAATAGTCATTCGACTTGCAGGCGAAACCAAAGAGATTCATAATATTCAAAAAAAAGCTGGACCAAAATAAATACTATAGTATGAACAAAGAAAAAGAAAGGCTCCAATGGCATTTTGTATAATTAAAAAACAACTACATCTTCCTACCCTCCCGTTACTCCTTCTCTAACCGCCCCTCCATTGATAATGAAATACACGAAGTAGGTATATTAAAAAATGATACACGAGGAATATGAAGGGTGTATCAAAACTCAAATCAACATTACCCTCTGAAAACGACGGGAATCCCACAATTCAAAAGCAAACAAATAGGGCATTGACAATGGTAGAAATACAGAACCAAGTTTGGTAGAATTTATATATTTGCATCTATCATTACCCGTATTGTCTTGAAATGGTATACTTTTTAATATTGTACCTCAAAATTACAAATGGCGCGTGCTATCTATCTATATAGATATAGATATATATTCGTCCCTTTCTGCACACACACATATACTCCCCCCCTCCCCTCCCCTCTCGGGTACATCCTTCCAATTTTCTATCCCATAGCGGCCTTTCTATTTTCATCGTCGTCCAGGGCGCACCGCAGATGGTGAAGGAGAGTGTTCCACCTCCTCGTGGTTTCTCTGATTGATCGTCGCCCTCGAGTGGACGGCGACCACGGAATGTGGAAAGGCGTAGACGGCACGCCGCGGCTTCGTGGAGGAATTCACCCCTCCCGAGGAGATGCTCGGTGACGACTCGGAAACCGGCACGTTGCTCGCCTCCTCCCTGGGGAGTGTCATGAACTCCTCCACACACTCCAAGATAGGGGTAATGAAGAGATGTAATGAGAGGCTGTTTCGGTTCACCGTGGACTCCCGCTGAATACTCATGGCGCGACGCTTGGCAGGCTCGCATAACGACGGAATCGGGTGCGTTGTGGCGTTGGCAAAGGCCTTTGGCACCTCGCCGGTGCGAATCTCGCGGACGGCCTGCCCTTTTAGGGTCTCCGCGAGCGTATAGAGGCCCTTCAGGACCGGTCGGGGAATGGCCACCCTCGACAACACCGTGGAGAGCATGAGGCCGATGCTGCTGAAATTGGTGGGGAATTCGTAAAGCGCAAAGGTCGACTCCGGGTCGTTCACGTCCAAGGCGGGCCCCGGGCTCTTCAAGCGGAGGTTCGTCTGCAGACGAATCAGCTCCATCGCCGCGGGCGGCAACAACCCCACCGCGGTCTCCGTGAACGAACCAATCCCGCCGGGGTCGTTCCCGGCGCGTGAGGAGACGAAAATCGCCTCATACCAGCGAAGCTGATCGCACTCCTCCACACGGCAGGCGAAACACGGCAGCAGGCCTTTTCGCTCCACCTCCTGCAGCGCGTACAGGATACGTCGGGCGTAGGCGTAGCGGATCGCCACACTCTCCCCCTTCCCCTCCCCTTCCTCTTCCCCGTCGCCGGGCTCCACGCACGCCTCACAAACAGTGCGAAGGGAACGCGCCGCCGGCCACGTGGCGCCACGCCCCTCTCCCTCTCCTCCTCCTCCCTCCCCCCCTCTATCCAGGCGGTAGCTCAAATAAAGCATCGGAGGAAGCGAACCCGGGGTGGAAACAAAACGTGGCAGGCTGACCTGCTCGAGCCGGAGAAACCCCCCGGCCCGCCCCCCGCTCTCCGCGCTATCCGGGACGCCCGAAAACGGCGCGTTCAGCAGCCCCCCATGCGCCGCCGCGGCGGGATCGGCCTGAAACCACAGCGCATCCAACACCGCCCCCCATCGGCAACGCTCCACCGGGGAAAGGGCGAAGGCCACCTCGCGCGCGACAGCCCCGGCGGCGCCGGGGCTGTCGTGCAGGACGACGCGGACGTCGACCCATCGCGGACTCGCCTGCGGCACCCGCCCCTGGAGGAGCCGCAGGAACTCCTGCAACACCACGACGAGTGCGGCGACGTACGGGGCGAGGCCGGCGTTCCCCTGGCCCTCCTCCCCGGCTTCC